TGGCCGGATTTCCTGACGCCACTACCCATGCACGTACATGCGAAATGAGGTTCCAATGACAAGGATACATATATATATATATATATATATGATTGAATGCACCCGTTGAATGTCTTTGTAAGTGAACAGGTTGGTGGCATCATCGTCCTGATCCGAGTGCTTGTGCAGCTTGTTCGAGAACGCGTGAAACGATTGCAGCAATGCTTGCAATGGATTGTTTTGCTTGTTGCTTTGGACTTGCTCTTCGTCCGTCGTTCTCCTCGGCGAGCTAAACGTGACCACCTCCTATACAACCCTGCCTATTGAGCTTCAAATATATATATATATATTCATATCAAGGAATCCAATATATATATATATATATATATATATATATATATATATTCGAACCTCCATGAAGGCATCTGCATCGTGCAAATCCATTCCAAGCTCCCGCACGATCATAAACAGCGCGGAATGCGATGCCGACGCCGCCATGATCTTGGCTTGTGCTGCCTTGAGGATACCCAACGCCACTGCAAACAACACTACATATTCGATTGTTGGCAAGATATTGTTGTGTATATTCTAAACTGGACTGGAGCATGAATCGACACAACCAAATGGACACAAGAATCATCGGCAGAAGGATATATTTAGCCAATCAGGTTGCAGGAAACCATCATCAACGTCAATTTAGTGTATGATTTCAATTAGTGTGATACCCATCACAACAGGACAACACTTTACATACAAAATTCAGTATAATGAGTCGATCGACGATAGATTTTCGGGGCATTAATGGGAAAATGGATAGGTAATATAGGTCTTCTATAATAACCAATAGAGTTTCAGAATTATTTCAAACTCGAAAGCTCACGAAATTAGCTGGAACTCCTTTTTTAAGTATTGTTAAAAAAAAAAATTCTTTTTTTTCTTCAATTTGGCAAAGATTCAGCACAACAGTCAACCAACTTTTGGGTAAAAGGAAGACAATAACTATCATAAGATTGTAGTTGGGTTAAGTGTACCTTCTTCGCCTTGTAAAAACATGTAATCCCAAACCCGCAACGCTGTGTCCAGGGGCAATGTGCATACAAATACACAGAGAAACCACTGCAATGTCACTAACTCAATCGACATGCCCGCGGCGTCCAGCGTGCGTGCCACGTCAGGCAAGTGCAAAGTGACGAGACGTTTGAACACTACTTGGTCAACCTGCGACCCCAACATTGATCGGCTACGACACCACAGGATATATATATGTTAAAAAATATTATGTTTTCGTCGTTTTTGACTGATATATATATATATATATATTGGACCGTGTACGTACGAGTAGTTTTCCGTGGGCAAGTACTGGTCCATGAGAACGCAGAGCAGCCAAAATGCATCCGCTTCGCTGTGAAAGAGCAGCAGAATGCCCACCAAAAAGTTCATCGACTAACGGTTGTCGTGATGCCACGTCATAGAACGATAACATCATAGAAGCTCCACCCTACTTACCTGGCAATATCCCACTTCTGTATTGTGTATCGAGTACGCGACCAACACGTTCGTGAGCTCTTGCCTTCCCTTAGCTTGCTACCAACCACCATTGACACTATTCATCTTTGGTTGTCAAGATGGAAAGAAAGTGTACCTGGAAGTAGGCGTGTTCAGGATAAGTCCTGCCAACGTCCTTGTCAATATCATCAACCATCTACACAAATACTTTTCAATAAAACTCAGAAAGTCGCTTCGTTACTGGTACTATTCGTGAAATATAAAACCGCGTTGGACTTATAATTTCCCCGTCAGTGTACAACATAGGCGTACGTACACTGGTCCGTAAGTCGCCTTGGAGCAAATCTACCACCCCCACCCCGTAGTAGTTTTAGTATCAGGTTTCGGGGTTTTGGGGATATATTTAGATATATATATCTCTATCTGCTCATAGTGTACCAGCGTAGTACGTGGATGGATAGTTGGCTTGATACCCCCGAACATTGGTTAAGATGCCCCATATGGATGCTCGGAATGCAGTGGGGATGCCTGTCAATACCAATGGCTGCGATGCCTCGTCAATTATATATATATATATATATATATAAAAATTGTATATATGCAAAATGTAGCAACGCGTACCTCCAATAGTATTTGTATTTGGGTGCGCGTACTAGCGTCACTTCGATTGTATTTGGCATCAAGAGCATCCAACCCGCCATGGGCCTGCAAGAACTTGGCCCACGCTGTCTCGACTGCATAATGCTAGTAAATAAATAAAAAAATATATATATATATATGTCAGGAATGCTGCTGCGTCGTACGTTGGGCTGGGCCTTTTTCGCTCGCAATTGCTT